ATTTACATATGGTTAAGGAATAGATTTTAACTCACGGTAAAGTTAAATTTTCGTACTAAAGTTTAAACACACCCTTATAATTACGAGGAATGTGTTTCGTGGTATGTAGGTAGTATTCTCTAGGCTACTTCGTAGGCACGTTGTCAGAGTTGTCACGAACACGAGGAAGTAACCGGAACTTTACGGCAAACTCGGAGAACGCAACGAAGCTACGAAATTCGTTTTCCAATGTCCGAGAGTTCTAAATTACGAGAGTACTGTTTCATCTAAACAACCGAAGGGAACATTATCTAGCTGATTTATTAGCCTGGCCCTTGTGAGAATATCGATCTTTATGTGTTTTTCTACTCTTTCTCTCCTGTTCCTCCTATCCACAGTAGTTCTATGCCTCGCCAATATCGACGAGTCGGATTTTAAAGGGACTGACAATGAGGGATGCCACGGTTCATTTATTACTCACGCTCGTCTGACTAATAGTCATCGATGCACCGATCGTAACTACTTTTTCCAAACGAAACACACAAACTCTCTCGTTGTATAGATCTCTTACCGCGAAAATTGCTATATCTCGATTAGTTGCTTTCATTTCCGATAATACATCGTCGGGAACTTAAATTGATGTAATTCTAAATACACTGATAACAAAAATTCTAAATCGATCCTGTAAATATGTCATAAATATTGAACCTTTCTTTAAACGTAAATTAATCGAACGATTGAAATGAAATTTGTTATTAATCGAAACTACTTTTCTCTTTCTCTTTTCTTTTCTTTTCTATTTTATTATCTTCTCTTATGGAAAAGCTATAAAAATGCGAGCTATGAAATAATAGATCGGTCGAGAGAATTCATGTGTTGTGAGTCACGTGAACAATGTTCTAACAAATAATCAAACTAGGAGGGCGACAGTTAGCCATGAGAATCCAGTTTTAACGACGATTCGTCACGGAAACTCGCGGAAACGAGAAACGGAATCGCTATCGGTTTAGAGAATATTGGTTATCCAGTTACGTACATGCAAGACATATAAACATACACACATACACATATATATGTCGTAAACACGTGTAGATAAATTCGAAGTACTCTCTAGTTCGATGTCTCACGTTTACTTGTCCGTTTGAAATATACCCTATGTGGTTGCATATTACTGACATTTCAAGACGCAATGAAAGAAAGAAAGAAAGAAAGAAAGAGACCTTCAACCTTCGACCTACGAAAAGTAATCGCGTGTTCTCGAAATCGGCACGATCTCTAGCGTTAACCATTCACGATCGCGAAATATTAAGCCGAAGGACAGATCTTGTCTATTCGTCTGTCCAGTTATTCATTCTATCGGCTTATCACAGAAAATGAAAATAAATAGAACGAAAAAGGGTGTTTCATTTGATTCGTTAAAAGAATATTAACGCGAATAAACAAAGGGGACTTGGATGGTAACGCGATCGAACCTTGCTGCTGTAATGCGAAACACGTCGTTCGTATTAAATTTTGTTTCGTGGTCAAATTTTCAATGTAAATAGAATAACGCGATAACAGAGAATATATAATTTAATATGTCGCATAACGCGTGTGCGCGCGTGCGCAAGCGCGCGCGCGATTTACAACAATCAAATCGTGATAAATAAATTCAATTGATCGAATAAATTGTAAACTAAATACGACGATTCGCTTACAGAGAGAGAGAGAGAGAGAGAGATAAAGACAGGACAGATATACAGACATCTACACACACATACATACGCCATACACACAAATATAAACGCAAATCGATCGATTCCTTTTAACGGTTCACCTAATCTACTTTTCGAAAAAAAAGGAAAAAAGAAAAAAAGAAGTATAAAAAAAAAATGTCGAACCGAACGAATTCGGGAATACCGTTCGACCACGTCGACATCATTCTTTCTTCTTCGTACCCGAACGGGTACGAGGCGATATTTCTCAGCGAGAAACGTGCACACACATTGCCGCACCACCGTCCGTTTGATGGCCCATAAAAATTGACCGGTAAAAATGGCGATGCAACTGCGTCCTAACCGCGATTAAATACGACGTCCATTAATACACGGTACTGTCATATGCCTGCTCGCATTTGGGTCGTTCGTTTGAAGAGGTGGGAGGGGGAGGGGAGAAATGGGGTGGCTATCTTGAAATCCATGGCTAAGCTATATCTGCGCATAAAATACGGAATTGTATTGTTCCTATGGCTTATGACGTTTGTCTGTAAATTCTTTGCTAGCAAGTAAGTAGAAACATAATTTTCGAAAGTTCATTTCCTACATACACACACTAAAAACCAATTTGAAATATTAATAAAAATATTGGGGAGAATTTTACTCTCGATAAGTGAATCGAAATTTTCTTTTTACACGATGTTCGAACGTATTTGTAGAAAATTAATCGTTGACGTTTACATTAATCGAAATGAAGGAAAAATATATTCGATAAAAAGTAGCAAATAGAGATCGAACAGAGCGCGGTGCTTTTTTTTAGTTGTTTTTCCGTTTCCTTCGAATAAATTTTTCTAAGTCGACGTACCTACTGGCATTTTTATCGTAAAAAAACAAAAAAAGAAAAATAAAGAAAGAAAAAGAAAAAAAAGTCGATGATTTATACCGGCGTCGATCGTACTCAACGTACTTGACATCCGAGGCCGACGCATTCGACGAGAGGGCCGACAATTCAAGGCAACCGATCCGCAATAGCTCTGCAATAGGTCCACGCTAGCTCGCACCAGCAATTGCAGCAGTTTTCGTTTGGTAGTTTCCGACCCCCTCCCCCATCCCTCCCTGATTTCCCTGAAGCCGAATCGGGAAGGGTTGCACCACCGTTAGGGAGAAGAGAATTTCGACAGCTTTGCCGGGTCAAGTGAGATTAAACGAGAATTTGGTCGGCTGGGAAATGTTGAAACGTTGCTCGCGGTAAAACCTCGACGATTATACGAACCCAACTACTACTACTGCGAGTGAAACAATGCATTTTTCTCCCGTCATCAGCCTCTCCTCCTCCTCCTCCTCCGCCGCCGCCACCACCGCCACCAACATCACCTCTTCCCTTTTCCATCAGTTTCTCTTATTCACGGTGCTATTTTTTTTTTCCTTTTTCTTGTTTTTTTTTTCTATCCGTAACCTCTATAAACGTTCGGTTAGCTCTCAAGAATGCAACAACGAAGAAAAAGAAACAAAGCTTTCGAACAAATGCTTGTCACGAAGATGCTATCTTTTCACGTCGACGGTAAAATACAATGGTAGGAAGAAGAAGAAGAAGAAGAAGAAAAAAAAAGGACGAAGAACGAAAAAGAAAACGAAAAAAGAAAAAAAAATAAAGCAGAAAAATCACAAGGAAAAAAGGAGAGAAAAAAAGACGGCAGAAACAATGGTCCCCCAGGATAACTCGAGCTTTCCTCCTTCATTAAGATTTAATCGAGCATTTTTTTGGTTTCTACATCTTATCGCTCGCCCGTTGTTTCGTAACGAATTCTAAACGTACCTAATATGATCTCACTGAATTTCTCTTCGACGGTAACGTACATTTCTTTCTTTCTCTCTCTGTGTATCTCTATCTGTTCCTATCTCTATTGTTTAAAACAATCGTCAATGTTTTCTGAATGTTTAGAACAAAACATCTTCTAAAAGTCAACGATTTATCTTAAGGACTCGTATAATTCTATCCCTTTTACTAAAATACGATATTTATCAACTATAATATTTATAAAGTATCTCGAAGGGAAGCAATTTTTCCGTCATTCATCTTGTCCTATTTTAACAATGAACGACGTTTCTCCAATGTTCTTTACTCTTTTTCTTAATAATTCTGATTATATACGTGTGCCGGGTGAAAAACGGATGGAGGTTGCCTTCTGGATGGTTGTCTAGAGGGGTGATAGGTGATGAAGAGGAGGGGGATAGGGTAGGAACATGGCAGGGGTATAAATCCGTGTAGAGTCGGTGAAACGGGCAGAAACAATAACGGGGTGAGGGTCAGATTCAATTACAGGGTATCGTGAGAGTTCTACACACCTACCACCCCCTTTCTCTAGACTCGCCACGAAATCCACTACGTTCTTCTACGTCTACTTCTTCTTCTCTTCTCTTTTCTTTTCTTTTCTTTTCATTTCTTACTTTTCCAACGTCAGGCCCCTTAACCTAATTTCCCGCTTTTGCCGGCCAACCGAATCGGTTGTCGAACGAAGACTAATGTTCGTCTAACCGTACGTTTCTTACCACAGGCTTTACTTTCATTTTTGCTGCCTGAATTTTCTCGAACTTACCCCGTTATCTATCTTCCTTTTGTTTTGGATTTTATTTTTATGTTTTCTTTCTTTCTTTCTTTCTTTTCTAGGTTTCTTTCCGTTAAGTTAGAAAATTAACTTTGCACGTGTTACATCGCAAGAATGAATCTCAGCGAATGGTCGAACGTAAATTACTTCTTTTTTTCTTTTTTTCTCATTCCCTAGAACTGCAAATCATTTTTATAAACGATCCTAAGGATCGTACAATTATTAATGTTAAGAGAAAAACGTATTAAAATATTAATGAATACCTCAATCAACGTATATCTATTGATCCAAACGAATTTTAGAAAATATCGAATAATACTACTACCATCAGGAATCGGCTTACGTCGTTTGTGTTGCAGGTGCATGCATTCGCATCGATAAGTCATAAGAGTTACGCGCCTCAGCTGTTTTTACCGGCGCGTCGAAAGGCTACGACTGCTCGTAAATAATAATACACGCTTAGGATTGGAGAAAAAAAAGAGAAAAAAGGAGATAAATAAAAGTGCGAGTGAAAAAAGAACTAGTCGAAAAAAGTGAACAATTATTAATCATTTTCGAATGTGATACTACAACGATTAATTGTAAAAACACATTCCAAATAATTGATCCTGTATTTTTAATCTTAAAAAACATTAATATGTCGATAATACAATAGATCAAATTCTATCAAGAACATTCATTTCTCAAAGTATATAATACAAAGGAGATAAGATATACTCACTATGTAAACTGATGCTGGTTTATAGAATAATCATTCTATTTTCTACGTCCATTAACCTCTTAATAAACACAACCCACGCATGCGTTTACGCAAAGTCACGATGCTAAGGCACTCCCCACTTCATTCGCATAACTTGACTCGTATAATAATTACGAAACAATTTCAAGAATCAAAATTTAATTCCCACTAACAATATGAGAATAATATATGTATAATATACGAAAGTTTTCAAACTTATTGTTAGGCGAATTCCGAAAGCACGCTAGAGTCCTTCACCCACTCCCAATCGTAAACGAGAAACCCAACCTACGCGACGGCGTTGCAACCTGCATCCAGCATGGAAGGAGGCCATGTGGACTGTCGATCTGACCGAGAAAAGGATAGAATATAAAAAAGAGGTGACAACGGGGAGGGGATGAAGCGCAACATTCCACCCCCACATGGTTCTTCCCTCTCTCTCTCACTCTCTCTTTTTCTTTCTTTCTACATAATCATTTTCTTTGGCCTCGAGCAAGGTTACCTAACCTTTTGAATAAACTGCTGAATAAAAGGATGATAATAGAGAAAAAAAAAAGTAAGAAGGAATCGAACGATAGTAAGTGAAGCTTACCAAAGGGGAACGTTAAATCCGGATCTTGAATTTTCTTCTTGTTCTCTTTATCTCTTTCTCTTTCTCTCTCTCTGTACTCGGGGTGTGGTTCCTTCGCGTGCGGGCGGAGCCCCACGGGATTAAGGACTTTGGACTTGGCCGGATTCGGAAAGCTCGCGTTCCTCTCTATGTGCGTATAAGACTTTGGATATGTAGGTATAATTGTGCGTGTTTGTTCTTTATGTTCGTTTATAAATTTCTCTATAAATCTTCTTATTTTTATCAAACATCAGAATGTGTCGTAGTAACTGAATTGAAGCTGGATAAAGAATGATAAATAAAAAGAGATGGTAAAGGATGAAAGCGAGTTTGATATATGTGTCTGTAGTGTACGCGGGTATACGTGTCCATGTGTGTGTGTGTGTATATGTTTCTCTAACTCTGTATTTGTTTCTGTGAGTACGTATGCGCGCGCGCGTGTGTGTGTATACTTGTACGTGTAATGCGACAGCACGGGGTACAGTTTGTTTGGTAGTTGTTGTAGTCTCAGGACAGCAACATTAGCAAGGATTTAAGGTTTCGGAAGAAATGGATCAGGACGAGGGGGAGCGGTCTAGACGAGGTCCTGCCTTCGCTAGGACATTGTTACTCCTGCTGATTCGTTTCGAGAATACTCGGCCGTTGTCAGCTCGGTCCAACCGCGATGGCCACCCTCGCCTATCTTCACCGATGTCACTTCAATTTTTTCTGGATTTTCGGCAATGATCTTGTATACGCGTATGTATATATATATATATGTATATAGATATATATATCCTTTGATAAACACCTCGAAGATTTATTATCAATCTGTTCAATGAAATGATTTACTTTTACGCGACATTTTTTTACACGAGCACGTTACGTCAACGTTGACATGATTTTACGAAGAATATTATAATATATCACACAGTGGAGAAAAAGTTTACACACACAGAGAGAGAGAGAAAGAGAGAGAGAGAGAGAGAGAGAGAGAAAGAGAGCAGAAGCGCTGTAGGCTCTCGTTCGTAGCAAAGTGTCACGCACGACGCGAACTGAGTTCGATCCAAAGCGCGATGCGGAAATTCCGTGGGAGTATCGAGGCGACCTTCGGAAGGCACAACCTTCAAGATCGATCGAGCCCACGACACAGCAACCGTTTATACTTATTCAAAACTAAGTTTCCTCTTATTCGTGAATCCCTTCTCTCTCCGAGCAACTTAACTATCTACGACACTTTCCATTTCCATTATTCGATCCCATTGAAATAAGACCAAAGTAACTACACACGCGTTTATAGTTTATTCGATCAATCCCTATGTGTCTATTTTTTTTTTCCTTCTGTATTTTTTTTGTCTTTTTTTTTGTTTTTATGTAGACAAACGTACATAGATCACCACCGATTCGATAGCACAATAACAAATTGTCACAAGTTGTGTCACTGTTTTTAAGAAAGGAAAAAGTAATCGAAAAATAGAAAGAGATAAAGAAAGAAAGAAAGAGAGAGAGAGAGAAAGATAGAATAAAAGAACAAAAAGGAAAGAGAAAGAGAGAATGTGTAGTAAACGAGTGAATAAGCGAGATAGGGAAAAAAGGAGAAAGGAAAAATCGAAGAGAGCACAGTTGGTTCCTCGCACTCGCGTAATAGAATTAAATCGAATACACCAATCGTTGAGGTATAGGTATCCTAAAAAGTAAATTGTTCCCTTCTCAATGTTAAAACTAAGTCGTCGTTACTCGAAGAGATGCCGAAGAACAGAAGAAGCGCGTAACACGCGACGAGGAAAGATGTCGAGCTGCCGCTTGCCTGGCGGTGGTGCGCGCCGCCATGACAGACTCTTGCTTCTCCTATAAACCCCACTCTTTGAAAACAACCCCTACTCTAGGATTTATCTTGCCCTACTACTACCTCTAACCCATTCCCTCTCTCTTTCTCTCGCGTAGCTACCCTTGTCTGTGCTCTCCTTCCAATCTCTGGTTTTCCACCACCCAGCTACCCTGCCTTGGCCCCACCAACGCAATATTGATCGGGCGGAAGGGCGGCATCCAAGAACGTAACGACGCTTTCAGGGGCCCCGGACGATTTTACAAGCCCCCTCTCTCTCTCTCTCTTTCATTCTTTTTATCTCTTTTTCTATCCTTTTATTTTGCTCTTCTTATTTTTATTTCTCTCTTGCGTCCTCGCTATCTTTCTTCGCAAACCCCTCCACCTACCCCCCCCCAACCCCGACCTCGGTCCACTTCTCGTCTCCTTTTCGTTTCTTCTTTGACAACTTTTTCATTTTTCTTCTTTCTTCTTTCTTCTTCTTCTTCTTCTTCTTCTTCTTTAAGTTCTTTTCCCTTTGTCTTCGCTCCCCGAAAGTATCTCATTTTTCCCAACGAAGTTTCCTTCGATATCCACGCCTTTCTCCCCTCGATTGTTCGATCCTCGAACGCGAGGAACGATTGACGATGGTTCGAAGACGACGCACGTGGAACGTCGAGCAAAAGACCAAAAGAATATTCCCACTTTATTTTTTCCCTGTTCTTTAAACATTGTCATCGTTGCGAGAACACGCGGTGATCGAAGGTATGATAAAATATTAATTTTTTATATTAATGTGTATAATATCGTTGAAGGTAAAAATCAAAATGATCGAATGAATGTATTAAAGGGTAGGTTAATAGTCGGTATTACCGATAAATTGTTTTGATCGTTAAAGAGAAAATAGAAAGAGAAATAGAAAGGAGGAGTAAAAGAGAGAAAGAGAGAGATAGAGATAGAGAGAGAGAGAGGAGAAGAAACATAAGATAAATTGATAATAATGGGAGAAGCTACAGCGTCAGCTCAGGTAGCTTTTGACACCTGATCCCTTTTCTTGCCAGACGGCAGCCTTGCCGTTAATCAAGCGCTGTTTCACCCCGTGTATCCACGACCCACAAAAGCCGAGCTTTAGCTCGTGCTGTGATGAAATGAATCCTTTGCAACCCCTAAATAATACTGAACGCATTGACCAAACCTAACCACCCTACGGTATATATAACCCGAGTTTTGTAAGAAATGTTGCGCCCACGAGTATACAAGCATATTCGTAATACGAATTTGTCCTGAGAAAATTCTTTATTATTTCTGTCTTGTTTCTTTTTCTATTTTTATTTGTTTTTATTTTATTTTATCGTCACGTAGACTCTTTAAAGTTTTAAGTATATCTCTCTACGAGAGAGAGAAAAAACAAAATAAAAGAAAAATTGATTATATTTTGTTTCTTTTTATAATTGTGAGCACCGATTAATTAATAAATCGAAAATATTCTCATGGGAATGAGGGGTTTGGATAAAACGATACCACGAGTCTTTATCTTTTTTATCTATTCAAAGGTAAAATCAATCGATGCGAATTGGTTTTAAAAAGGAAGAAGAAGAAGAAGAAAAAATGAAAAAGAAAAACGAGGGGCAAAATTATTTCATCGTCAGAAATTTTCCTCACCGAATCCGAGACTAAACGTCAAGAATCACATTGAGCATTATTTAACAGATTACGGATGTAACGCACGAGAAACTCGGCAGATTGCAAAAGGCATTTAACGCGATGGCAATACTGTTAAGTGCCCCCTTCCCCCTTTCATTCGAAGCAGAATAAAAACATCGGTGTCGAGCGCGTGACGTTATTTCGTTAGATTATACTTAACGTTAATTAAAATTACATTTGTCCGGTTGAGTATCGTCGTTGTTAGGTTGGCAGAATAGATATAGAAACAATTCGAATGAGTAAGTATCGAGTTACCCTTGCGTATCGTGTAATTCATTCGTTCGTTAATCGAAATCCGATCGAAACATTGAGCTCGCGTTTATTACCTATACACTATGCTGTCAATTTTAACGAAATTAAAAGATTCTAACTTACCAATTAACGTTTCCCACCACTAGTTACTCCGTTACGCCTTTTCAGTGTCTGAAAAAAGATAATACAATTGAAAAACAATCGAAAAAAAAAAGGGAATAGATAGTTTAAAGAATGACTAGATGAGAAGTGCAAGTAAAAGAACTTTTGCAATTTACAGCTCGGAAAATCTTCGTTCGAGACGATCGTGCTATCGAAAAGGGAAAAGGTTGATTCTCTATTTCTCTCTCTTTCTCTCTCTCTCTCTCTCTCTCTCTCGAAGCTAGCAGAAACAGTTCGGAAAAATAAGAAGAAAACGAGAGAGAGAGAACGATGTAACACGCAAGATGTGAATGAGAAAAGAAAAAAGTTAAAAGAAAAAACGAATAAGAGGGACAGGAATAGAGCAAAGTCCTTTCTCGTAAGAAATTTCTTTGTCTCTTTTTCTACCTCCCTCTCTCTCTCTCTCTCTCTCACATACATACACACACACACACATACTCTCTCTCTCTCTCTCTTTCTCCCGAGAATTCGACGATCCTCCTTCGCGGAGATATGATCGAAAAAGGTCGAGCGTTTTCCACCTTCGTTTCTTCTTTCAGAAATGTGAAGAAAACGAATGAAAATCGAATTTTCGATATCATTTATCAGGAAGGAAGTTTGTAAGACGTGCGTTCGATGTGCCTGCTACGAGATATAATATATAATAATATGATGGATGAAAAATTTTCGATTAATCCAAGTATAATACTTTTATACTTACGTATATATATATATGTGTGTACGTACTTTAAATTAAATAAGTAAGTAAGTAAGTAAGTAAGTAAGTAACTAGATAGATTTGCAAATATCTAAGAAAAATGATTAGTGAATATTATAGATAGGTGAGAAAGGAATTCATTCCAATGAATGAACTTGGAGAGTTAGCACACGTTTAAAGCGGCTTCGTTTCAAGTTTCCGCGATGTTTCGTTGTGGAAATATTTGCCTCTAAAGATAGATAGTAATATAATCGCCTTTGGTGATAGTTACCCGATCGCTTGTTTCGCCTTTCGTTTCACGAAAGAACTATCAAGAGCGGTAGCACGCTTCGACGATTTATTCTCGAAAGCTTGTCTCGAACACCTGCTGCCATTGCTTTCCTCCTCCCCCACCCCCACCCAGATATTCGACATTTCCAAGCTTTTTCCACCTTTTTTTCTTTTTTCTTCACTCGAAGCTTGTTTTCTTTGCAAATTGATACGCTTATCAATTTTATCGTCGTGAAATAACGATCGTATAAAGGAATCAAGAATTAATTTCCATTTATCGTACGATTCGATACGAAAGAATTTGTTTAATAATTTCGTTTTATTTTTTTGTTTTGTTTAAAGCCACGTAAAGATTTTAAAAGCCCCAAAAGGTTCTAACGAATCAGCAGCGAAGAAGCTTGCATTTTATAAAAAGCATTCGCCAAGCAAATGGCGAGTCCGATTTCTTCTCGACAAGAGGAACACGCCTGGAGGTCGAGGTCGAGGCCTCGAAAGAAATCATGCATCCGTTCGTTCCATCGGCATTCCGGCGTAACCACAAGCGTTAATGGCGTTTCTTACGATCTCGAATAGAGAAGAAGGTGGTGGTTCTGAAGTTGGTGGTTTGGGTAACACGGTCGATATACTTGTCACGGCCGAATCGTTAAACGAAAAGAAGAGAAGAGAAGAGAAGAGAAGAATGATTCAGCCAAGCATCTGGATTTAGATGAAAAAGAAAATCTTCCTTTTGCGGGAATATAGATATAGAAAATAAATGATCCAAATTGTCGAGAACTGTTCCTTTTTTTCTTTTCTTTTCTTTTCTATTTCTACTTTTTTTACCGAACAATTTTTTTGTTTATTATCATTCGGAAAATATCACGAATCAAACGAACGCGACGATATCGCAATATTTTTATTTCATTATTCGTTGGAATTTTAATAATGTCTTCATTAACATTTTAAAGGGTTTGAATACGTCCGGCCAACATCTGTTTCATGAATATAATTGAAACATGAATTTTCATTGTTACGCGTTGTCGAAGTTAATTGAATGGTAATAAATGATTTGTCGAAATAAACGTTTATATTACTAGAGTAGGACTTTACAAGTGGTGCATTCAAGTTTGTAATATAAACGAGACAGTTCGCACGGTAAAGGACTTGCCAAGAAGGACTAGCACAAGTATACCTATGAGCTATGTTATTGTACAAACTTCATACGCCGTAGCAAGTCTAACGTCCTTAGTCACGCCGCTTTTTCCTATATCCCTACAAACCTATATACACATACCAACATCTAACCTATATAATAATTTGAATACCTCAACATCCTTCTCTACAAATCACTTACATATCTATATCTTATCAAAAGAAAGTGCGAAAGAGAAAGAGAGAAAGAGAAAGAGAGAGAGAGAGAGAGAGATCAATAAAATGGATTTGAATAAACTCAATCGAATATTCTCAGCTTCATTTTTAAATTCCATATCCTATCGACTTTTTTCTTCTCTCCCTCTATCTTTCCACCACTTCACCTATCTCTCGCTCTTTCTCTCGCTCTTTCTCTCATTCTCTCTCTCTCTCTCTCTTGATCTAATCATATTCTCCTTGCTCTTCTCACATAATCTTAATATTAAATTTTTGACATTTTTCTTACGTAAGACGTTACGCACACAAAGCAAGACAATATTACGTACTGACGAAAAGTATAGAAAAGTATTATACCGGCGTAGTTTTCTGTTGTTGAGAATTTTCTCTAAGATTCCTTAACGTTCAAAAACGTTCGATTTTCTTCTATGTCTCTGCCGACGTTGCAGGCTGACGCTCAACGTCACTCGATTTGAGTAGCAACCTTTTTCCACAACCGAGGACACAATTTTTCCGACGATTTTTCCGGCCGATTTCTTCCGCCCACCATTTCTCGTCGAAAGATATCTTTGAACTCGCGAGAATTCAACTTGTCTTCTTGTCGATT